TTATATAGGATATATATAGGATTATAGATGTAGGAGATATATATATATTCTATATAATTTTATATAGGATTATAAACACCACGTGGAAGGAATCAGCACCCAGGACTGTCATTCTATGGAGCCGGGGGGAGCAGAGCTGTGAAGGGACAAATGACCCCACTGCCCCCGGCCGTGTCACCGTCCCCCCCTGCCCAGCCCTCACCAGCTGGTTGGACACGTCCCCGTGGTCCTTCCTGGTCATGCCCTCCCCGATGGCCGACTTCATCAGGCGGGACAGGGAGGGCAGCACGTTGATGGGGGGGTAGATCTGTAGGGTGAGAGGGACTGTCACCCCCACCCTGGGCACCCCTGGATCTCAGCATCCCCATCCCCATGTTCTCACAGAATCTCAGCGTTGCCTGGGTTGGAGAAGACCTCTAAGCTCAAGTGGAACCATCAACCCAACACCACCATGACCACTAACCCATGTCCCTCAGCACTGTGTCTACACGACTCTTCAATCCCTCCAGGGATGGGGACTCCACCACTGCCCTGGGCAACCCCTTCCAATGCCTCAGAACCCTTGCAGCAAAGAAATTCTTCCTCACATCCCATCTCAACTGCCCTGGCCACAACTGGAGCCCATTTCCTCTTGTCCTGTCCCTTGGGCCTTGGTTGAACAGACCCACCCCCACCTCTCTCCACCCTCCTCCAAGGGACTTGCACAGAGACACAAGGTCTCCCCTCAGCCTCCTTTGCTCCAGGCTCAACACCCCCAGTTCCCTCAGCCACAAGGGAACTCAGCACACTTGTGCTCCAGACCCTTCCCCAGCTCCGTTGCCCTTCTCTGGACATGCAGGTGGGTGGGTGTCCAGCCCCACACGATGCTGGTGGACATGGTGGTGCTGGATCCATCCAGGGAAGGGATGTGGGAACGAACCTGCCTGTTGTGGAGCTGCCGGTCAACGTAGATCTGCCCCTCGGTGATGAAGCCAGTCAGGTCAGGGATGGGGTGGGTGATGTCTGGGGGAAAAGCAGGGTGGTGTGAACCCCAAAACCACATCCAGTGCCTCAGCCAGGCCCAGCCAGGCTGTGCCCCAAGCTGGGGGGTGACCCTAAAGCACCCAACAACCTTCATCACCCCAACAGGTCCCACAAGCTCCCCCCAAAAC